CATGGCATGCCGCCTGCCGCCTGCCCTGCCGCGGCCGCCGCTGCAGCAGCAGCAGCAGCTGCTTCACCTCCTCGCGGGCGACGACGCCGCCGCCGCCGTACGATCTCGCCTGCACCGGGCAGATAAGAGGGAGGGGGGACGGACGGTGCGCCCGGCGGCGGCCGCGGTCGGCCTCAGCGGTGGTGGGGGAAGCGGGCGAGAAGGGCGACGACGTGCTCTTGGCGGCCGCCTGTCGGCGACCTGTCTCGTAAGGGGGTGTAGCTCAGATGGTAGAGCGCTCGCTTAGCATGCGAGAAGTACGGGGATCGATACCCCGCACCTCCACTTTTTTCTCGATCAGATTTCTCACCCTTTTCCTTCTGTCGTCTTTCACCGCATTTCCACTTCTCTCTCCCTCTCTCTTTCTCTATTCTGCACCTCCTATACGACGTAACGCGCGGAGCCGGGTGGGCAGCAGCAGCAAGCAGCGCGGTCGCGGTGCCGCCGAGAGGAGCCATAACTCGTCCGCTCCATGGCTTTTCCTCGTGTCGCGGTTGGCCGGGCGCCCGGAGATGCGGCCGCCGCGATTGGCTCGCGGGGTCACGTGACTCGGCGGGGGTGAAGGTCGCGGCGGCGGTGCAGCAGTCGTGCAGGTGCAGCCCGTGCAGCAGCCGGCTGCTGGAGCCGGGTATATAGCCTTGCGGGCCCGCCGCTCCAGCAGCACGGAGAATATTATGTGATATCCTGGCGCCTTTCGGGGAGGCAGCCGCAGTCTGGAGCGTATTTGTCATACTGAGGGTTCCAGTACGTATGTCCAACATTAGTTTTAGCGAAAGCTTGTAGTTCGCGGCGTATCGTATCGGACGCCCTGTGTGATCCTGGTGAGCACGGCGTACATAGTACCTGGTGTGTATCTTTGCGAATACGCTCCAGTGCTGCTATGGGTGGTACCGAGGGAGTTGGGCAAACCCGCCCTCACTGGGGCGCACTCAAAGGAACACCTGCTGGTGAGAAGGGAAGTGCGGGTTCCAGCGAACCGACCGGAGGGTACAACACTTATGCTGCTCCCCGGTGAGGACGCCGCGTTTGGGAGGAAGGGTTGTAGAATTATTGTCGTGGGCGGGCTCTCCGTTGTTGACGCGTGGGAGTCGGACAACACCCCACGCCGCTCTTCGCCGTCCTCTCCCGTGTGTACAGTGCTCTCCTTGCTCCCGTAGCGAGAGTGCGTGAAGGGAAGGGAAGAGGGGTGGGGCGGGGCCCGCAGGGTCAGATCCAATATTTAGTCAGGGAGGCGCGCCTGCCTGGGGGAGCTGCTGGGCCGCCGCGCGGCCGCGGCGCAGGATGCGGGAGGATAGCAAGAAGACTGCGAGTGTGAAGCGAGAGACATAACAGAGAGAAGGGCAGAGTGCAGCTCGCCCGCCCAAGGCCCGCACGCCGTGGTCTTTGCCAAGCGTCACGGCGAAGGTTGCGAACACGGCGACGCCGCGGTGCGTTGTGTAAGTGAATGTGTGTGTGTGTGTGTGCGTGCGTGTGTGAGCAGTGCACTGCCGCCGCCGCCGCCGACGTGGTGGCCTCGAGGGGGCAGTACAGAGAGAGGAGGTGACACGCGCGTGCTCGCTCCACGCCCTGCCTCTTCCAGGTGATGAAGTACGTGGCAGAGGTATGGCGTAGAGTCTAGTTCTGCCCCCCCCCCCATCTCTCTCTCTCTCTCCGTCATCGTGCTCGCCTCCCTGCTTTTCAGTACTGCCCAAGCTGCCTCCCCCCTGTTACTTGGTGCGGGTCCGGCGAGCGGGACCATCTCTGATGTACTGTACAGAGCGCTATATGCCTCGGACCGGAACCACGTGTGTTCAGTGTCGCCTAGTAATGACCTCGCCTCGGCGCGCACAGAACCCGTGTGGCGAGTAGTACCCGCAAGTACATGATATGCACGTGTACCGACATAAACGTACCCTGTATTACTTCCCCTCGCCTATGCCCTTCCCCTCCACTTCTTCGCTCTGCTAATTTTGGTCGTGTTTGCAGAAGTTGGTCGGTCGCTCGGCTCGTTTCCGTTCTGCCACCGCCCACCCGCGCGGCCCCCCGCCGGCCCCGCGCGGCTAGCTAACGGCCGGAAGGTTTTTCCCTTCTTTCTTTCCTTTAATTTTTCCTCTCCTCTCGCGTCTAGTTTTTCTTCTTTCGCGCCCGATTCCATGACGCTGCCCATGACGGTGGTGCTATTTTCTGACACGCCAAGGAGTGCACGCCCTGCCGGCCTGGCCGCCGTGTCCTCCAGCCGGTGCTGCTGCTGACGCCATTACACCGGCCGACCGCAAGGATAGGAGGAGAGAGAGACAGCGAGAGAGCGAGCTGCAGAAGTAGCCGCGGCTCGGCTGCGAGGTGCATCGCCGCGCGCGACGCTGCGCCGCGCAGTGCAACGAGATGAATGCGGGTAGCGAGAGGAGAAGGGGAGGAGGGGGAGCGCTTGCTGCGGTGCGCTCCCGCCATGGCAATGTCCTATCTCTCTGCCTCCGTTTTACGCCTTTTCTCTCTCTCCCTCTTCCCTTCTCATCCCTAACAAATAACGTTGCGACTTCTCTTCTCTGACCTTGCGCCTTTTGCCGGCTCGCGGGACCTCGGGACGGGACGCCTCGATCGGCGGCGCAGAGGCCGAGAAGAAGGAGAAGACGATGGCCGAGGGGGTGAAGGAGGGGGCAGAACGACGACTGGCTCGCAGAGCGCATTGCAACGCGGCACTCGATACAGTATTTTGATCAGCGAAGAGCAAGTCAGAAAGAGACAGAGCCTCGGGCTGTAGTGGAGGCTACGTGTAGCAGGAAGGAAATAGAGGACGAACGAAATTGGGAGACACGTTTAGGGCGAGGCGAGTAATATGTGCGACTATACGGGGGTGACTGTACATTGTCCCTCTTTCACACTGATAACGACGAATCAAGGGCTTATCTGACAGTTTGCAACTTTGACAGGTGTTCAGTGTTGACCGGCTGTACCTATTGGTACTGATGTTTAAACTGTGTTACACTACTTGCGATTCCAGAAAGGGTGCTGATCTATGAAATAATCAATTGACGAGCAATTATTGCGATATGTTGAAGCAGTATACAACATATTTTGTAAGTGTTCAATTGCAAAATATATTGTATCTACCAACATATTTTTTACAGTGTATCCGCACACCACGCGGTTGCGGTATGTTCGTGCTGCGCTTGCACTCCAGGCCATCACGTTGGCGGCAGACAGTAGCAGGCTCAGGAGCTGCTAATTGAAGCACGGCGCCGTATGGGGACACCGTAGTTGTGTCCGTGAGTGTGTGTGTGTGAGTGTGTGTTTGTGCGTATGGCGTGTTTTTCGTTATGGCGCGAGTTGCACCCCTGCCCGCCTCTTCCCCTTCTCGCCCCTCTTCCATTCTCTCTTTCTCTTTTTTTCTCTCTCCCTCTCTCCGTTTCCCATTACACGCCTACTGTATAGACATATGGCAGCAGTAAACAGTGTGCCAATTTGTCAATATTTTTTTTTATCTTGTCTATGAACATTTTTTTTAATATTATTATTATTTTTGCAAAGCGCACTTCTCACTCTGTGCGTGCGTGCGTGAGATTGCGGGTGCGATGCGGCGCGCGTGGGCTCAGTCCCTCCCCGCGCACGCCCGCACGCCGGCGCGCACGCTCGTGGTCTTTAATGCGGAACTGCCGCTTGCTGCTGTTTACCGGCGCACACTTACTGCCAGCCTGACGACTTTTCGCGCAAAGCTTTGCGTGTGTGTGCGGTGCGCCGAGCAACCGTATCTCTTGTTTTATGACCGTTACTGTTGGTTAAAGATTTCAATTTTCCAGAAAAGCGTCTTATATTATTTTTTTTATTTTTTTGAAAAACCCTGACTTTTTCTTGGTGAGATTCAGATTTGCTTTTTTTTAGCTGGGAAATATTTCAATTTTTTTCCATTTTTTTTCTGGACGTTTCCAATTTTCCCGGAAAAGTTACGGAAGGTTTCTCTCTTGCCGTGCGTGCGTGCGCGGGCGCCGTGCACCGTTGCGGTTAGGCTGTACCGCAAGCCCGCCGTGCGGTCGGGCTGCCTACCCGCGCGGGGTTCGGCCCCTGCGCGCCCGCGCGGCTGCGGCTGCCGGCTGCCGGCTGCCGGACGGGCCGAGAGGAGGCTGACTTTGTCGAACCTTTTGCAACACACGAAGCAGCCAGCAGCAGCAGCGATTTTTTTTTACGAGCGCGCGAGCTTCGATGGTCTGTTGGCGCCCGCGATCGTCATCGCCGCGTCTCATTGGCGA